ACCCACACCCTCTACAGGCATAGATGTAACAAAGCCCGAAAATATTGAATTTTCACAGACAAAAAAAATGAGTTTTTCAAAATTTTTGTCCCCTAGTGGCCGGATGTATCTAAATGGATACATCAAGCAATTAGATGCCAAAGCACTTATTGGTTCTGAAAAATAAACTTTTCCTATCTCCATGGTCTAGGAGCAACAAAAATGCACGATAAGATTTTTTGCTACCTGTTTTCTGGTAGCCGGCTGGAAAGGGTTATCTCAAAAGAGACCAGTGATATGCAAGAGCGGCTATGCTTGCATATGTTAACTACTGAGTGCGCATCCATGTAAAATGACCTACCCAGGTCCACTGTTCCGATCGCCGGAACCGTTTGTTTCCTTTGTTTTCCGGCAGCGGATTCTATAGATTCCGTTGGTTTTCGGTCGGCTCCGTTGAGTTCCGACGATTTCTTGACTACAGGGTTCCGGTCCAGTTTCCGCCGGAAAAATTCCGTTAAGTTCCGCAAAATTTCGACCAGGAATTCGTCGGAAATCGATGGAAACTGATCGGAACTGGTCTGACGAAATCTGGACCGGAATCCTGTAGTCAAGAAATCGTCGGAATTCAACGGAACCGATCGGTTCCGATGTACCGAGCGTGATCTGGGTATTGACATACATTTCTATGTTCACTTATAATTTTACATAGACAAATGTATTATCAGTTGTCAGATTAACGTTTTAACCTATTGAAGATTTTTTTTCATTAAGCTGTTCTCAAATTTCATTTGACGATTTCTTCATAATGATGATTTAGGAGCAAGATATATTCAATTAATGAACGGAGAATCGGAATTTTATTCTTTTACATTTTTTTTTCTATGAATGAAGCACAGCATTCATAGTTTTTATTCAAACGAAATTTTAATCTAGAGATAATTGTATTTTTATCATCTTCCTCATATATTCAATTAGGAATACAGATCTGTTTATACCCATATATTCATTGGAACATTTTTTTTTCTTTCTATTGTGTTAGTGTTCTGTTTTCTCTGTATCTAAATTATCATCTGATTGGGCTATTCCTATTCGTCAATAATAGTCTTTGTCTCCAAACACAGAATACTGATAAAAAAGAAGAAGAAAACGTAGATGAGATTCATTTAACACAGAGATGACCTAATGTTAACATATCAGTCGTCTCCTCAAAGGGGAAACTACAACACCTCAGCACCCAAAATCATTGAAAGATGCTCAGGTGCCAAGAAAAAAATCGCACGGGTGGCGCCCTCCGTACCTTTCAGCACCTCAGCACTCATCCAGCATCTCAGCACCTTTCAGTACCCATCCAGCACCTTAGCACCTTGTCAGCACCTCAACATCCTATCAGCACCTATTAAGGATGTACCAGTTCCAGTCCAATTGAGTATCCATCTCTACTGGATATCTAGTTAACTGACGTAGAATTTGTTCGATAACCAGTATTTTGGTTTTGACCAAAGGTTTTTAGGCCAAGAAATCTGAGTCTGAAACCAGGATTTCAAAATTTTGAGTTTGACTTTTTGCAAAAACTATAACTTTTTCATAAAAAACCTTTTTTCAGTGGGAAAAATCACACTCAAAATTTTGAAAGTTTGATTTCAGATTCAAATTCCTTGACCCCGAAAACCTTTGGTCAAAAACCAAAATACTGATTATCAAATCAATTCTAGGACAGTTAATTGGATATCCAGTAGAGTTGGATACCCAGTCAGACTGGAACTGGTGCATCCCTGATAGGTGCTGACGTGCTGAAAAGTACGAAGGGTACCACCCATGGGGTTTCCCCCTTGCGTTTCCTCGTAGAACACAACTAACACAAATTTACACTATCAATGAAACAATAGGAATAAAAAAGCGACCCTCTCATTTTGAGCAATATAGACGCTTGACAATTTTTCTTTCGAATAAATTATTTCTGTAATTTACTATTATTCGATCCAAAATAAAAGGCAAGTTACCATTTTTCAAAATAACTTTTGATAGGAACAAGATACAGAGGTGCGGTTTTCATTATTCGGAAGAGCGATGCTCAGGCCATCGATTGGTATAAAACTCATTAAGACGAAATATGCTTTTTTTATAGGTACCTTTGGATCAACACTTTCTCCTTTGAGTATTTTCATTAATTTTCACAATGATCTCAACTCAAATTATATCAAAATGTAGCTCAAATTAGCCTTTTTTCGCTATAAAATGATTACATATTTCACTATCTCTCAGCCTCGTATTCTAAGTGGATTTAAAAAAACAGACGTTAATTTTATAGCAAAAAACGGGTGATTTGAGTTACATTTTGACATAATTTGAGTTGAGATTATTGTGAAAATTAATAAAAATACTCAAAAGAGAAAGTGTTGATCCAAAGGTATCTTTAAAAAAAAGCATCTTTCGTCTTAATGAGTTCTACACCGATCGATGACCCGGACATCACTCTTTCGAATAATGAAAACCGCACCTCTCTATCTCGTTCCTATCAAAATTTATTTGAAAAATGGTAACATGCCTTTTATTTTGGATCGGATAATAGTACAGTCCATCTCTTTACTCATATCTGTCTCAGTTATATGAACAAGACTCTAAGTTTTTTCTAATTTATTCAGAATAAAATTGGCAATTAGATCTTTCTGTGTCCATTAGCTATCTTCACGTATATATGTGCGACATAATTATAAGATCTAATTGGCAATGCTGTTCCAGTTAACCTAAAAAAGTGCGTGCATCGTTTATTTAGATAAGAATAGACGATTCTTTATGATATAAAATACTTTCTAAAATTTTCGTCGTATCCATCTAACGCAATTGCATAGCTTTTTAACCACATTTTCACTTCTTAAATTGGTAACAGGACGTTGTTTCATTTAAATCATTTAATAATCGATAGGTTCCAAATAAAAAATGATCACATTAGTTCTCGTTTGTATGGCAGCTTTTGAGAAGGTTGAGAAGTCGATAACCTAACGGACGAGGCAAAACTGATAGCTCTTTCAATACTTTCAACTTTTCTCTCTCGTAAAAGGCTAGGTTATGTTGTTTTCGCTTTCACTGAAAGACTTCCTTTAAAACTTTATAGAACAGTGTATTTTATTCAGCAATTGGAGTTAAGGTGTGGAGTGTAGGTATGGATCACGACAAGAGCCAGACATCCATACCCATACCCACACCCGAAAGACACTCTAATAGTATAAATGCGCAGCTTTCAACTAATTGTATGTTCACTAACAGGGACAAAGGCGAAATCAGTAAAGTTCGAATCTTGTGAGCGGAACCCAAAGGGACACAGCACAGAAAAAAACAAGTGAAAAATCAATGCCATTCAAGTGACAAAACAATGTTCATATAGTGCTAGCATTAGTTATTAATAATGGTTTTTCTGGTCTGCAAACTGAAAATATGTAACGCTAGCATTGAAAATAACTCATGTTCCCAAGATTTTAATCAATTACATGTGAATAATTGAATATTTTCAATTTCGAACATTAAAAATCGATTAACATTGTTGCATTTCCACATCATTACTCGATTACTTTACCTCGAAAAAATAATTGATTATAATTAACGATTGCCCAATGTTTTTTCTTCGTGGGTGTTACAGGCTCCGCTTTCAAAATATATTTTCTCTTTTCTGTGTCTCCTGGATATGATACCTGTCTTTTTTCGATCGCATATTATTATCTCTTCTTCTGTATTCGTCTTTTCATTAAAATCCTTTGTGCGCGCAATGATATATATGCAAGTTCTTTCTCATCTATTTGGTTCGTTATGAAGCTATAGTAGCTATTAGTTTGGTGTGTGAGAGAGAATTCAATACATGATGTCGCAAGCATGTTTCATCGAAATAAAAGAAGAAAGGTGAAATAGATCAAACCTCTAACGATGAGGTAGATACAACAAGAGAACGAATTACAAAGACATACAATATTTCACATATTCCTAGAGCATTCTGATTAAATAGTGCACCCATGAATTTTTACAAGAGAAAAGTTTAACATTGTTTTACAGATAACTAAATTTACATACGTTGAGTGGACAACTTGTTGTTTGATTTCAAATTCTTTATTTTCTATAACTGGTGTTGCCGTTGTTGTTTTTGCAGTTATCATGGTTTCATGATGTACAGGAGCAGGCCTTGTCATAACTGAAATCGATGAATCAACATCATTCTTTTCATTGTTCAATGCTAAATACTCGTCGATCATTTCCATTAATTCTTTCAACTTTTCTTTTTCCAATAGTTGAGTCTGACGAAATCGAATATATTTTAGCAAACATGTATGAATACCTAAACAGAAAAAAAGAGTGAACACTGTAGACATTTTGAAGTTCAGTCATGCTGAAAATGCACTTGCCGACCCAGCCTGGAGGTTTATCCTTTTGAACAAATACTGGTATAACCTGTTTCTTCAACTGATCATTTGCATAGACAAATTCTTGTTGACATGATTTGCTTTCATAGTACTTATTGGATAGAAGACACAGTATAACATTCGCTTCTTGCATACCATCAGCTATTTTACCCCACAAATAACCAGTTTTACAATATTTACGATCAATCCAAATATCAAATTCATCGTTCCTCTTATTCAACTCATTGTAGAGTTGTGTGCAGATATCATTGTCTCCGTGTGAGTAACTGATCATAATTGATGGTTTCAGAGGTTTGGCAATACTTGGGCTATTCGTGGATGATGATGATCTGAGAGAGAGTGCTAGAGTTCGAAGTCTTTTTACTCCATATCGCTCTGATTTTTTAGTTTCGGATTGTTGCGGTTGTTCTTGTTGTTCAACAATATTACACAATATCCCGTCGGCTGCTTTTTGTATATTTTCAATGTATGTGGGAACGTAGTGTATAGATGTTGTTGCAATGCTTCTGTTGCCTTCTCCGCGAGCAATCTGTTCGATTATCTTCTTAAATTCTTTAAATTTTTCTTTATCGCCATACAATTCCTGTTTATATTGAGGTCGAAGTGAAACACTCCAAAAAATATTGCATAATGCTGTCATTGTTGTTAATTTGAGTGGATCATCATGTTTGACTGTAGCATAATATTTAGAGAAAAAATCAAGTAAAAATTCTAGTGTTGTAGTTTTTTCTAGTTGTTCAACTTCTGCATGTTGTATGATATAATCAAGTGTACGATCATAACTGAATAATTTTACCAAAACAACTAATGGTTCACTCACATGAAATCCATATCGGTAATCTTCTTCCCCGGCAGCCCAAACAACACTTTCTAAGATACGATCCAAAACTACATTCATCTGTTTACGATCGTTTTTAATTTGTTCTGTCGTTGATAGTAAAGCCAATGTCATACACAAAATTTCAACTATTTCTTCAAAATAAGAATCACTTTCTTTGACTGTAGTTTGAATTTCTTTCAATACTGACACAAGATCAAGAGCATTTAATGACTGTATTCCATCTTCATGACGACTGATATTGTACAGAATTGTCATTAACGGTCTGAAAGCTTTACATTTGTACTTGAGGATCTAAATAGTTTAGCATAGTAGATAAAGTTAAGGTTTACATCTCTATTATGTAACTAATTAATTACCTTCGATTCTTTGTTATCTTGGCCACGATGGCTACATAATCAAAAAATGTAATGCATGTTATTTTAGATACAGAGTTAGCATTTTTTAGGATCAATTTTTCTGGAAACATGTTCCAATAAAACTCTTCTTGTTCTAAGCAGAATTCGACGAATTCTATCAGACAATCAAAACCTTATGTCAATAACATGTTCTATTATCGAGAAATCTTCATTAGATAGTGTGGTGGTGGTGGTTGCTCTATAAAGTAGCGATTTTTGTGCATGAGGCTAACCTATTAGGAAATGGTTTTGGCCATCTGATAGAACTTGTCAAGTCGTAGCTGGAACATGTTTCTAGACGAATTGACCCTTTAAAAAAGCCAAATCTGAACCTAACATAGCCGACGTGAAAATGTAAGTACTTTAGATAATTATCAATCATAGCGCACCCAATATAAACAACTGAACAGACTACAAGCAAGAGTGATTAGTTATTCTTAAAATGTATTTTGAGAATTTGTTTGAATTCATATGGTAATTTTCTACTCTTTATAACACTTTATAGGCATTATCTGAGACTTCAAAAATCTTTCAAGATGCAAAGTCCTTAGAGAGTCCTTAAATAATTTGAAACTCTCAGAGAGTCATTGGGAACTTCCTCGGAAATCTATGAAGGAGTCCAAGAATCCATTCATCATTTTGTTTTGCATCTATAGACGCATATAAGAAAAAGAAAACTGAAAAAGAAACACTCGATTTTTTGTAAGACCATTTTTTTAAATGATAAATATCATTTACGCTCCCGTCTGAGTTCTCTCAGAGACAGCTCGTCATTTTGAGGTGAGCTAACATTTGATCTGAACGACTCCTTTACTGAGACGAGACCTACTGAAGGACTGAGGCGGAAGGTCCTTTGAAAAACTGATAAAGTTTTTTGTATAAAGTGAATTTCGGTTGATAAAAACTTAATAACAAAGAGATATTACTGTGATAACGAGTACAGTGATCCACTTTAGAGCCTATCAGTTTTTTAAGAACTTCTGAGAAATTCTAAACTCTCCAGATAGTCCCTAACAAGTTCATAAGAAATTCCTGTCAGGGTTCCCCAATGACTTTTTCATGGAAAAATGGACTAGACTATAAAAGGTTTGATTTTCAAGACTAAGCGTGCGACCAACCTAATAGCTGGACTTAAAACATTTTGACCTAAAACATGTTTTCAGAAAATTTTCCATATTAAACTAACTTTCGATTTTTTACTAAAGCGAAAGTTTTTTACCATGTCGTATCAAGAGACTAATTTGTAGAGAATTCACTTTTCTACAAAAAAAAAAACTTTCTTCATTAGAAAGTATGAAACAACTGTTTCTCTAAATATTTTTCATTTTTGACTTTGAAAAAGTGATTTTTTTTTCGAATACAGCCGAAAGCTATCATTGTAGAAAAGTTGATTTCGCACAAGGATGTCTCTTGGTTCAATTCGGAAAACTACTTTATTTATAGCCAAAAATCGAAAGTTGCTTTTTCCGAAAACATAAGGCCGTCAAACAACAAGCATCATGCTTCGTTTGTGGTACGTCTATTTGAGACTAGCTATTGTCTATCCTACGAAGTGTTTTTGTAGTCCGCCAACGCTGCACCATGTCCAATAATTTCTCTCTTACTCATTATAGATAATTAGAGTCAATCTGTAGCATACTCGTATATAATTCGAACCATATGTATAATATTTTCAGGAAATCCAACTTTAATCAAGTTCGGCACCAGCTCTGTCTTATCAGAGTATGTAGTTAAGAAATTAAGAAGTATCACAGTTGTTTTGGAACATTTTGGAAATATATTAGAATTATAATATTGTTTTAGATAGTTCATCATTAACACTAAAATTTCATTATGGACAATTAGTCGCTTTAAGTCTTCAGCTGTAAATGATGAAGCATGAGCAACAGAACGAAATGCATTCTGAAGAGTGCTAATAACATTTGAGAGGATGCAATTTTCATATAACAATTTCACAGCATCACTTATATCAATATTCGATGCTAAATAATTTTTAATGTGTTGTAAATGGAAGAAATTGAAATATAAGTCAACTATTTCATGTGCGTAAGTAGTATCATCATCTTGAAGCCATGTTTTTGAATCATTAATAATTACTGAAAGTGGTTGTGTTTGTTTTCTAACTGCAAAATAGTTTTGTTTTGTAATATTACTTTTATGTTCTTCAATTATATTGACGAGTTCAACCAGAATACGATACCACTCAATCAACACTATTTGATCCAGTTGTTCTTTATTGTCCTCTTCCGACAATTCAGTTTCACTACTTTTCGATGTTTTGGTATCTGAGAATCTGCATGATTCATCGTCTTTGTTTGCAGAAGACTTTGTTTCATCGTCTTCTGATTTGTGAGTTTTCTCCTGTTCAGATATTTTACTTTGAAGATTTTGTAATTTAGTTAAGATATCAGAGAAAATTCGTTCGTCAGAAATGTCGATGGTCTCTGCTTCCTCTTCAGTGTCGCTCAAGTCATAATCATGCCAACTGAGTACACTTGACTCTTCGTCCAGATCGACATCATTCATCTGCACGGTTGGTGTCGCCGTTGCTACCGGTGTTATTGAAAGAAGAGCTGAAATCGTACGAGTGAGGGAAATCAATTCGTTATTGTCATTATCAACGATATCATTTTCAAGTTGTTTGATGATACTAAGAGCATTACAAGAGTTTAAACTGCTTATTCCATCATTATGACGACTGATGTTGTGGATAATATTGATTAACGGATGTATAGCGTCTGCTTTTTCCAAATTCGTCTAGTTATAATAAGAAATAGTAGTAATGGTGAAGTTTATGTTGCAGACAAGATTTAAAACTTACTCGTTCAATTGGACTGTGTTGTTCGCCATATCTATAAAAACAAAAAAGTCTACATTTACAAGTTGAAAAGATAGATTTTTGTTCTTTTTGGATCAACTGGAAGCAACGGTTATTTGACACTGATTCACTTAATCGCAGATTAAATGATTATGCGCCTTTCAATTTCGGAATTTCCAATGCATACAAAACGTGGAAATCCCAAAGAAAAGTGCAATATAATCGAAAAGCAAAAACCAGTGGAAATCTTAAAATTGAATCTATTTGAACTTCAGAAGTCGAGAATCAAAAGCTGCAGAAAAGATACGAACGATAGGCAGCCATAGGTCAACGTGAGTGGTATGACATATAGTCATGTCATGTTTTGTAACATTTGTTCCCAGAGTGTTATGCTGCGTCAATCGCCATATAACGACTTTAGGAAAATTATAGGACCTATCATCCATATCAGCCCGGCACAATAACGACAAACAAAGATCTTTTTATCCGAAAGTATTCTGATTTTTCGTGTACAGCACTTTCTAGCTTTTGACACAATATGTCACGTTGACATTACATGTGTCGACAACGTATGACACGCTAGGCGCACGTGTGATATAGCGTGACAGAACTTCATGTGTTGCTAGTGTGTTGGACTAGATATGCACCAGTCCAGTCGGACTGGGTACCCAGTCCGACTGGTACCCAGTCATGACTGGGTCATCAATCATTTGATCTTTAGTTTATTAAATGAATAATACTTCCGTCTTTTCTGTCTCATAATAAACTGATATGAACCTATTAAAGACCTAATACGAGCTATATCATAACATTAATTGATTATTCTCGTGTTACTATGTGTCAACTGTGGTTTCATATGGTATTATAAAATAATTTGCCAGATATTCATTAAATTTTTCTGAAAAATAGATTCGATATAGGTGTTTCATTATCTTCTGTTTGATCAGTATTCAATTCTGAGAGAAAGATTTCTGACTGATTGTACTAAAAATCAAAACAAAGTGATTCATTTAATTCAAATATTTGAAGGCTGTTTTGAATCAAAATAACTGTTAGTCTATTTATTTTCAGTGCGAAAGGCACTGTTTGGTCTTTATTAATCTCAAATGATATTTTTATTGTATTAAGAAATCGTAAAACTAATATGCAGAATTTATTATTTACATAGAAGATGAAATTATATTACTTTAGAAATTTGAATAAATAATCGAAATGATTGAATATGTATTAGATGTTCAAAACGTGAGTCATCAATCTTAACGTCTCTCTCGGACAAAAAAAAACCCTACCTTTTTCCATTAGGTCGTTCTCCTCTTTAATGCATTGCTATGTCTTTATTTTCATATACATATATATATATATATATTAATTTTTAAAAAAATAACAAATCAACATGAGCTTTTTTTTATATATGAAAATTTATTTTTCTTTTTTTAATTTTTTTGTCTTAGTTTTGATTTATTATTAGTGGAAAAGAGATATGAACAAAAAATAGAAAAAAAGAGGATAAAAGTAGGAGTTAGGAGTAGAAAGAGGGAAGAATTAAATAAATAAATAAATAAATAATTATTAACGCGAGGCCTTTCGAATTTAATCTTTACCAAGAGAGTGAATGTGAATAGTATGATTATGATATAACACTGCTTATATATTCGATCGAAATAATCTATTCATTAACTTATTTAAGTAGACCTAATTGATTGCATAGGACCTTAGTATTTGATCATCTAATCATCAATAGAACGTATGCATATTCTAATGATTATCTTCTTCCAATTTCCAAAAATTAGAATCAACATTTTTTTCAATCGTACTATTCCATCACACCTAGGGATGCAACGGTGATGATCATTCACCGGTTAACCGCCACCGTCTCACCGGTCCAAACCAATAACCGTAGGTACGGTTGCCGGTCCAACTACGATAACCATAGGTACGGTTACCGGTCCAACTACGGTAACCGTAGGTACTGTTATCAGTCTAACTACGGTAACCATAGGTACGGTTACCGATCTAACTACGGTAACCGTAGGTACGGTTAC